CTCAAAGCGTGTAAGCCAGGCTAGGCTAAGTGCATCTTGCGTCTATCCTCGAATCAGGGGTTAATAAGAGTGCCAGGTGGCACACACCGCTCGTCAGCTGCGGCAGAATGCGGGTCTTCCGGACGCGAGGTCCTTCCGTCTTGCGGGGCACGATATCGGGTCCAATCGGGCCCCTGTCCACAGAGTACCGGCTGTTTTCCCCACACACACCGGACGTCGCATCGCGGCTTATTCTCTCAAGGTCCGATTCATGATGCCATGCAGCCTGCGTAAGACGGGAGTCGTTCTGGAGCCTCCAAAAGACCCCTCATAGGCGAAACATGAGACATTTTTCTGACAATGGATGCGAACCATGGCTTTGGCACGAACCTGTCCAACTGCTACCTCAGATTCCCTATTTTACCGGATTATTAGATGACTTGCTCCAAGAAAATATCCGCCCTGCAGAAGCTTGGGCGTGTTGGTTGCTGCACGTGACGTACCAAAGGCGTGATTGGCTGAGGCCCAGGATCCCCGAACGGTTGGGTGAATTACAAAGCGACACTACCAGCTTTGGTGATGTAAGGTGCGAAAGAAAAAAAAGTGGACTGACCGAGGTCGCCGATTATATTCAATCATCTGTTCGCCGCAACCCGGATCGCAAATCGTTTCCTGAGCCACCCAACACTCGCTAGACACACACAATGGCCTCCCAAGCTTGCGAACTGCGTAAGGAATCCTTCGCGACACAAATCTCCTCCTCCCAATGGCTAACAAAAGGACTCCGCAGCCTCCATTTCCACCCCGGCCGCCGCGCCGGCTGCCGCAAACGAGCAAGCCTCCAAGCCCAAGGTACGCACGACTGAACGACGAGCCTCGCCTCTCCATTCCCTTATCTCACACGACCCCGTGCGTACGAGCACCTGCTGACGCTTTCTTTTCAATAGCCCTGCTGCGTATGCAAGGAGGAGAAGGCGAAACGGGACGAGTGCATGCTCTTCTCCAACGCCGCCGACCCAGCCAAGGACTGCCTTTCCACGATCGACCAATACCGAAACTGCATGAAGGGCTTTGGCTTCACGGTGTAAGGGGATAGTCGAGCCGATGATGAAAACGGATAAATCGATGCGACGATAGATGTACAGTACGACCGAAGCATACACGGCGTTGGGGAAATAAAGAACCATCACGACTCTGGTTTGAAAACTGCCATTTGTGTGCTGCAGTGAGTGTTGTTGGGGCAATTTACAATCTGGTCATCACTTTAAGTGGTTCTCTCCCTGGAGGATCGTGTGTGGCCGCGAGGAATGATCGCGATGTAGTTGCGACCGATCTTTCGTCCCTTTGATTTCCATCCGCATGACCTCTGAATTATTGTACATTGACCCAAAATCAGTAGTCGAACCGATGGACATCATTCGTAGCTCCAGAGCCGAGCGTCCTCGTGTCCCGTGGCTTTGTCCACGTCTTCCTTACTCTGTCGGGATCGTCGGCAAACCCTCCATGGCCTACGTTGATCGGCAAAATGTGGGAATCCGAGGTACGAGGCCGGGGCGTCTTGTTTGGGATTAAGGCAGAGGACGACGGCAAGGTGCGCACGCAGGATGCAGGGCACAGGATGCTGCAAGCCTGCGAGAGGAGATGAGCAACTTGTTACCGCTGGGGGCTTCTCTTCTGGGCTACTTGTGCAATATCACGAATGGTGGGTTAGAAGTTGAGAATGGGGGAGGCGAGACATTCTATGGCCGAAAGCCGCGAAGGGATGCAAAAGGTGCAAGAACGGGCTGCGTTGTTTGAACGGAAGCGCAGACTGGCATTGGCAGCGGTGAGGACGAATGCTGTCACCGGAGGCGGAAGGGACAACAACAATCTCTCAAGGGACCGAAGGCTTTGCGACTGGTCTATGAGTTACTCAATACCCCAATTCCATACTGGAAGCGAAGGACGGCCGACGGGTCCCTTATAGTCTGGTCCAATTCCAACTCTCCCGGCCCAGAAGGCGGCTCCCAGGTGGGAGTTCAGGTCAAACTGGGTCAGTTGGTGTGGTCGGTTAGAGTGAAGTGGTTTGGCTCGGACTTGGGCTCGGCGAGGTCCAGGTTCGAGTCGTCGACAAGAGATTACCTGTCAGTATCCTAGACGTGGGATCATGGGAACTCTTTTATCATTTTGGTTCTCTTTTTTTTATTCTATTTGTAAAGAAAGAAATAGTCCTGCACTTTTTTTTCTCGTAGATCTGCGAAATTGCAAGCGATGCTTGCTCTTTCCGTGTGTTAGGAGATTTCGTGATATAAGAGCACTGCCTGAATGCAGCGCCGGTGAGTTCGGTGAGGATGGGGCGGGGTTACTTCGGCTGCAGGGATGGCTGGATTCCAGACAATCAGACCCCACTAAAATTTTCTTCGATAATGGAATCTGCACTGGCACCTTATCGCATCTCGAAAACTCCCTTCTCCATTCAACGGGTTGTTCTCTCGTCAAACCGCAAAGATGGGTCTGGCGCAGCAGAAATCGTAAGAGAAATACCATGGGATTCTATAGTGACATGCAACTTTATTTACTGACATCCTACCAAATAGCCGCCGCAAGATCGGCAAGGATCCCAACAACACGAAATGGACCAAGGACACCGAATCCTTCGGCCAGCGGATGCTGCGATCGCAAGGCTGGGAGCCCGGACAATACCTCGGCGCCAAAGACGCAGCACACGCCGTGCACCACACCGCCGCCAATGCCTCCTTCATCCGCGTCGCCCTCAAGGACGACATGCTCGGCCTCGGCTTCAAGCAAGCCAGGGATGACAGAGTGACGGGAATGGACGTCTTCTCCGACCTGCTGGGACGTCTGAACGGCAAATCGACCGAGGCGATCGACAAGGATCGTCAGGCCCGCGAGGCGCTGAAGAGCACGTTGTACTGCGATACCAAGTTCGGCCCCATGCGTTTCGTCAGCGGTGGCTTCCTCGTGGGCGACCAGGTCAAGGAGTCTGTCGACGGCGAGCCCAAGGGGGAGAGCAAGGATGATGTCAAGATGGAGGACATCCCCGCCGCGGAGTCGTCGAGCAAGAAGTCGAAGAAGCGCAAGGCCGAGGAGTCGAGCGACGAGTCAGAATCCTCCGAGGACGAGAAGACACGGAAGAAGCGCAGGAAAGCGGAGAAGAAGGAGAAGAAGCGCAAGTCAAAGGCTGCGAAGGAGGATGTTTCCGAAGATACCCAGGATGACGTGGATAAGAAGGACAAGAAGGAGAAGAAGAAGGAGAAGAAGGAAAAGAAGAAGGCCGAGAAGGACAGCTCCGACGCCGAGAGCTCCGACGAGAAGGCGTCCAAGAAGAAGAACAAGAAGGACAAGGCCGAGTCAAAGGAGGCCGACGCCGAGAAGGCCGCGAGGAAGGAAGAGAAGAGGAAGCGCAAGGAGGAAAAGCGCGCCAAAAAGGAGGCGTCGCGGGAGTCTTCGTCCACGCCGGCTACGTCAACACCAGCGAGCGGTACTTCAACACCAGTTCTCAGAGGTCACCACGCTGTAAGATCACGATGGATTGCGCAGAAGAGGATGGCTACAATGGACGACAAGGCTTTGAACCAGGTATGTTGCATCGGAACATCCCACGATGCGTACGCATTTACTAACTCGAGGCAGATTTTCATGATCAAGTCGCAGTCGTGATTAGATATAGAAAATAGATATATTAATGACATGGTGTTTTGAGGCGTTCAACATCTGCGTAAAGTACCTACTTAGAGGCCCTGTAAGCCGCGGCTCAAACTGTGCTGCGCCGCGACTTTGTACCCATGGACCATCGATATGGGGCTCGGTGGGATTCAGTTGGGACTTTAGTTATACTTTACCTAAACAGGGCCTACTATTGCGAATTTCGGACGGAGGGGCGAGTGTCAAAACAAAGTTCTGATCCTGTAGACTTATGGCTGATGTTGCCTAGTAGTCAGCCTCAAAGGACATCCGCGTGGGTCCTGAGTGCGCGCCCGCCCGCCCGACTTGTTCGTATTGGAGGCAGCCGAGCCACTTTGGCCGGGTGTACGTGCCGAAGTATGCCACCACGACCTTGAGCGATGAGAAAGTTATGCATATATATCCTCCGTTAGAACCCACCCTACGCATGACGTGGGAACCAACCTTGTCCGCCAAGCTTCTCTTTTCTCTTCAAACACGTCTTTGAGAAATATCACAAATGAAAGTGCAACCTCGAAAAGACACGACCATCTCGCAGGAGCACAATATGGTGGCTTCATCTTCATCTACTGCACCAGGGTCCATGAGCAAGACTGCCACCAACGACGATAATATGAGAATCAACGACCCCGCTGGACCCAAGCCTATCGCATGGCAACACAACTACTTCGCCACCTGGCTTTCGATTAATCTCGTATGCTGGTTCATCATCTCCGGCCTCGGCTCCGGCAGCGTCACCATCCCGTTGGAAGGCCAAGCTATCATCGGCGGCTTCGCATCCTTCATCTTCGCCGGCTCGTTCCTTGGCACCCTCATCATGGTCGAAGAAGTGTGGTCGCAGACGTCCCACACTCGAATGCTTGCCGGTACTATGGGACTCGGGTTGACGGCGACGTACGCTCTCATGGGTGAAGGCTGGAATAACGGATGGCATCGGACTGCCGTTGCGCTGAGCGGAGGGTACGTCGGGTTCGTGCTGGAGTCTGCGACGGGGGTGTTTGGCTTGTTGCTTCAGGGTCTTGCCAATACCGGCGAGCCGCAGGATCCTGCAGTAGTTGCGGATAAGAAGGGCTAGAAGAAGGCGGAGGGGGAAAAACCAGAGGGTACTTAGTCTCTTTTCAAAAAGATTCTGCGTTCATACTTTTATCTATTCGACGATGTGGAAGCGTGATGCTAATCCAGCTCCTGATTATCTTCACAAGAAAAGCATGATAACACTTTTTGCTCCCACTTTATTATGAATGGAGCATATAAAAGGCTTTGAAGACTTAAAGTACTTCTTCCAGGTAAGACACTATTGAACAGGCAAAAGCGTATGACATCCAGCAAAAGGAAAGAACCCTCGGCCGGGTTTGAACCAGCGACCTTCAGCTAGCTTTCCCTTGACGGGCTGCAGGCCGACGCTCTACCAATTGAGCTACAAGGGCTTTTCTGATGACTTATTGGTTATCAGATGCAACCAAGACCATTATGACTGTTTCGTTGGTGCCATGGCTGTTCAGTCATCGCCGCTTGGATGTTGGATGGTGAGTCACTTGGCTATGTAGGTACTCAAAGTTGGCCGCCAAGGTTCGGCCTGATCACGGGGCTGTGGTCCGTCTCCCAACCGCACGCAAAAACCAAGATGCCGAAACCTTTCTGGCTACCTTTATGAAAGACTTCGGTATGTCGCCCGCCAATTCTTACTCCGACATGGGCCTTTGGTGCAGGTATCACATCGACAGCTACACAAGCCCAACGCAACGATGTTGTTGACGACCATACTATGCGCCATTGGACTCTTCTTCTTACGTCTGGATGCCGTTATGGCAATTCTAAGGGTTCTCGGAGCCTTTGGAATGATATCTTGCCTCCTCATCTTGGCATTCTGTCATCGAGCCTTTGGCAAGTACGTCCTTGCACTCGTTGCGTTGAGCCCCCTGGTCCGCCTCATCCAAACCAGCTGGGAGTTCATGACTGGAGACTTTCCTTGGGACAACAAGGGTTATTTCGTGAGCAGCAAAGAAGGAGAGGTTCTACCCTGGGTGGTCTTCTTCCAGCTGCTTGCCCTCGGGGTACTCGCCGTCTCTGGACGCGACTACGTACAGAGCATTCTCCGTAAGCGTCAGGAAGGTCAGATCAATGATTTGGTGGAGATCACAATGGCGGACGCTCTGGAAGCTTCTGAAGAAACCTGGGAGATGGTTGAGTATACCGAAGGCTCTATCGAAAATGGCTGGGCGGGCAAGCGGCTCGCCCCCTTGGGGAACAGTATTACGAGAGCACAGCTCGAGACTCGTCAATGTCTTCGAGAACAGGAAGAATCTCTCAAGGAGCTTGTTGGGTAATCAGCCAACCCAAGAGACATACTGTTTACAATCGCGAACCAAGCATGCCACAAATTTGCACAACGTAAGGCTTATCAAGCTCAACTCCGCCGTAAATCACTATGCTTACCTCAATCGCAAAGAGTCATCACCCTTCGGGTGCTGCTCAATAGAGTAAGGGCCTTCAATATGGCAAACTCAAACACTGGGTTTCCTGCCCTTATAGGTGCTTTCCTGGCTGGCCTGTCCTCGAAGCGAAAAATCTGCACACCGCAGGTATCTCCGTTGATGAAGGCATGCCCATATAAACACAGGATCTTCTCAGGATGGACGATCAGAAACTCGAATCAACCAGACTTCTAGTCAAGCTGAATATCCTTCACTCACATCTCAAAAACATACACATACACCAAACCAACAATCCAAGGAGTTACAGTTACCTATCAACTATCTACAATGGCTGCCTCTACTACTTCCAACCAATCCCGCTTCTGGCGTGACCGCTCCCCTTGTCCGGGACGTCCGTCGTCGCTACTCTCAAGAAGAACTTTCGACAGGCGCATTTCCGTTCTTCAAGACCATGGAGACGTCTGGTGGAAGCACTTCCCTAGCTCCCAAGAGCGCAATCAGCCAACCTTGAGGGCCGAGGAGCCGGTCACGCATAACTCAGGGCGCGACTCGACGTCAGCCGCTCCCAGCTCAACGATGTCCAGCCAGAGGACCGACTCCATGGACATCTTCGAGCCGTATCCTAACGATCCGACTCCCAATCTCCAGGACGAAAATGAAGGCTTCTTCGGCAAGAGTTACAGGGCAAAGCCCAAATATCAGCGGCCGCAGCCTTTGTTCGGATCCTCGGGCGCCATGGTCAACGACAACAAGGACCACAG